CGTGTCAGACATCGGTCCTCCCCCAAAAAAAGCTCCGGACCTGGCGGCTTCACTGGTGATTTTACCCGACACTCATAAAAACAAATACAAACCCTTCCCCAACTTCTCCAAAAGTTGAAGGAGAGAACATACCTCTTAACCCAGCACCGTCCCGACACCAACGCCGGACAAAAACACAAGAGAAAACTCCAGACTCACCTCCCCTATGAACGTTGACACGAAGCCCTCAACAGAGTCAGCGGCACCCGGCAAGGATTAGACACAGTCCCTGGGGGGCCTGTTCATGAAGGGCGGCCCCACGTGTGAGCAATAGGTGTAATATTCCACGCTAACCGAGCAAAGGGAAAAAACCACAGCGTCGTTGTTTCAATCAGTGCCAAAAAGGCATTGGACAACGTTGAAAATCCAGTCACGATAAAAATACCGAACAAACCAGAAACAGAAGATACCACGCGTGTTTTGTCCCCATGTTACCAAACAATTAGCTCGATCCTGACCTGTCTCCCTGGAGCCGGCGCCGTGTCTCACGGGTGAGGGGCTCAGTCCCCTCCCCCACCCCGCCCGCCAGCCCGTCTCCCACACCCGCCAATTTCAGATGCCAGCCAGGCTGTCGCCTGTGCTTCCGACCACCCGCTATGGATCAGAGGTCCCCGCGACCCCCTCCAGGCTCCATTCAGTTGCTAGAAGGGCTCACAGGACTCAGGGAAATGCTGTGCTCACAGAATCACCAGTTTATTATAAAAGGCAGTCACTCTGAGACAGCCGGTTAGAAGAGACGCAAAGGGCGGCCAGGTGCGCGGAAAGGGGCCAGGGCGGCCACGCCTGTGTCCGTGTCCGTGCTCTCTCGGGGCACCACTCACCGCACAGCTCCATGGGCTCACCAACCCAGAATGACCGACTCGGCCATCGGCCGGGGGGGACTGACTCAGCTTCCGGCCCTCTCCCCTCCCCCGAGGTGAGGGGTTTGAGTGAATGTCCCAACCTTCCAGTCACCAGGTCTCTGTGCTAAGCAGCCCGACCCCCAGGCTATCCAGGGGCCCTACTCATACTCTGGTCACTCAGGAAATTCCAAGGGCATTAGGAGCTCTGAGTCCGGAACTAGGAACACAGACCACATATTTCTTATTAGGCCACGGAAGGAATGTACCTCCATGTGACGAAAGCTACGTATGAAAACCCACAGCAAACACATCAGTGGGGAGAGACTTCGGCTTTTCCTCCAGGATCAGGAACAAGGGAGTGATGCCTGGAGCTCACCACTTCAATCCGAGGCAGCACTGGAATTTCCAGCCAGAGCAATTGACAAGAAAAATAAATAAGCAGGATCCAGGTTGGAAAAGAAAGAATGAAACTGTCTCTGGGGGACGCAGAAAACACTAATGATTCTAGGAAAATGGTTATTATCGTAAGTCATAAACAAACTTACCAAAAGAGCAAGATATAGGGTCAGCAAAATTCAGTTACATTTCTGTACACTAACTGTGAACGGCCCAAAAAGGAAATTAATAAGACAGTTCCATTTACAATAGCATCGGAAAGGACAGGATACTTAAAAATAAACCTAACAAGAAGATCAAAGACTTGTACACTGAAAACTACGAAACGCTGCTGAAAGAAATCAAAGATACAAGTAAGCGGGGAAGACATCCCACATCCATGGATAAAAAGGAAACCCCACCCCAAGCGAATCCGTATCCAAATCCCAGGGATGCTTTTGCAGAAACAGAAAAACCCATCCAAAAATTCCTATGGAATCTCAAGGGACCCCCAAATAGTCAAAAGACTCTCGAAAAAGAGCAACACAGCTGGAGGTCCCACATGTCCTGTCTTAAACCTCCTACGGCCCAGCCGACGTGGCTCAGTGGTTGAGCCTATGAACCAGGAGGTCAGGGTTCGATTCCCGGTGGGGGCACATGCCTGGGTTGTGGGCTTGATCCCCAGTAGGGGGCGTGCAGGAGGCAGCCGATCAACGACTCTCATCATTGATGTTTTTCTCTCTCTCTCCCTTCCTCTCTCTGAGATCAATAAAAAACATTAAAAAAACCACGACAACAAAGCTACAGGGATCGAATCAGGGTGGTGCTGGCATAGAGAGAGACAGAGACCAATGGGACAGAACAGAAGCCACAGTGAACCCTCACACCTGTGGTCACACGACTTCCAACAAGGGCGCCAGGACCACCCATGGGGAGAGGACAGTGTTTTCAACAAACGGGGCTGGGAGAGCCGGACGTCCACACGCAGAAGAGTGAACCTGGACCCCTACCTCACACCACACACAAAAGTTAACTTGACATGAGTCAAAGACCTAAAATCAAAACTACAAATCAAAACCACAGCGAGACACCACCTCACACACATTAGGATCGTTACTATAAAACACAACAGAAAACAGGCACCGACAAGGACACGGAGAAACTGGAACCCTGCACACCAATGGTGGGGACGTACAATGGTGCAGCCGCTGTGCAAGGCAGTGTGGAGAGCCCTCCAAAAACTACAAACAGAGCCCTAGCCAGTGCGGCCCAGGAGGTTGGAGCGTCACCCGTACACCAAAAGGTTTCGGGTTCAATTCCTGGTTGGGGTGCATCTAGGAAGCAACTAATCCATTTCCCTCTCTCACATCGATGTTTCTCACTCTCCCTTCTCTGTCTTAAAAAAAATCAATAAGCATATTCTCAGGTGAAGATTAAAAAAAAAAAATCTGTAAAACCGATTAAATTCATACTGAACAGAATGTGTAAGAAGGTGTTTTGCTAAAAAAATGGGCTGGGCTGGTGCAACACAGTCCTTCCAGCTGGACATGCCCAGGTGCCATGGTGCAGCCACATTCCTGCCACGATGCAGCCACATTCCTGCCACGGTGCAGCCACATTCCTGCCACGGTGCAGCCACATTCCTGCCAAGGTGAAGCCACATTCCTGCCACGTGCCCATCTCTGGCTGTGGTGCATCAGTCCATCCAGCCCTCCTGGCGAGGGCCTCACGTAGCTCAAGGACAACTTTATATCCCTCTGACCTGATCCCTCACACGCACCTTCGGCATTGGGCTGAGCTGCTCAAGCCCGTGAAAATGACCAGGAACATGGGCACTGGGGCTATGGGGGGACCACAACAGGGCTGTCCTAGCTGTCCGAGATTAGCATTAAAACCGAGCCAAAGAGTAAAATCCTGGAGAGAATGTCAACCCTCAAACAGCCTAGGAGCCTGGGAGGCCCCGTGTGAGGGGGGCTCTGTCCACTGCTGACCAGCAACATGAAGCCATCCTGCTCCTTGTGGCCGTCAGACAGACGACGTCAGGGCCCAGAACAAAGGTCGTGCCCATGGGAGACACTCAGCCGCCAGCCACTCTGGCTCCCCCACCACCCACCACCTCCCGCCGCCTCCCAGCGCTGGTGGAATATCGTCCCACAAACCCCAGATCTCCCACAGCCTCAGAGCCACACGTGAGCATCTTGAGGACCTGTGCGCGAGACAGGACTCTGGAGAAGCTCAGCACATTCTCCAAATTCCCCCCTTTCTACCTCGGGCAGAGACCCGGGTCCTCAGCATCTCATGACCCCCACATCCCCGGCCACAGCAGAGAGAGGCCGAGCCAATCCCAATGACCCTCCCCACACGGGGCCGGTGAGAATGTGACCCAGGCCAGAGCTCCTGGGCCAGTGTGCCCCCTGGACTGCCCCACCTGGTCTGGGCCGCTGCCAGAAAGTGCCTCCCTCACCCCTTCCCAGCCTCCAAATCTCAAGCTGCACCCCCATCCCTCCCTTCCCCACCTCTGCCTTCACTTATCACCTGCCTCCCGCTTGGACGGTCGGGCTCCCGCTGCCCCCTGCCCATCCAGTGCATGCGGGCGGCTCTGAGACTGTGCCCCTCCCTCTTGACAGACACACAGAAAAAGGCAGGGACACCAGCCAGAGAAAACCCACAGGAGGCCCCATCATCTGCCCACTCCCAGTAGAGTCATCATGGGGTAAATGGTCCTAAGCCACAGGCCACCAAAAATGCCGTCTTCCCCTTGCAGGCAAACACATCCACGTTCAGCCCGCCGCCCGCGGCAGTCAGAGGAGAGGGTGGTACTCACTGTCTTCTCCGGGGCACGGCATGCCGGGCTGCTCGGGGATGCTCGGGAACACTATACGGAGGGGGAGAGACAGCGTCAGTGCTGGGCACCCGTCACCCGGTGCAGTCTCACGGGCAGGCGGATCGGGCTGACCACACAGGAGCACAGAGCCCGCGTGGCCGACGACCACCTGCTTTTGGGAGACGCTCAAGGAGGCAAAGACCTGGGAACCCAAGTCCCTCCTACAGGAATTCCGAAGGCACGGGGACGTCTGGGGAGCCGTCAGGGATGCGGACACAGAGCCTGACGGGTGCCAAGTTAACATGGAGCGGGAGACCCAGCATTACTATAAAAACCGACGTCTGGCACTGGCTGGTTTGGCTCAGTGGTCAGAGCATCCGCCCGAACACTAAAGGGTCTCGGGTTCAATTTCCAGCCAAAGGCACATGCCTGGGCTGGGTTCCATCCCTGGCCCTGGGTCAGGGCACGTACAGGAGGCAGCCGATCGATGTGTCTCCCTCACATCAGTGTTTCTCTCTCTCTCTCCCACTTCCACTCTCTAAAAAGCAATGGAAAAGATATCCTCGGGTGAAGATTAACAATAAAAAAACCCAACGTCTGAAAGCTCGCCACACTCCGCGTCTCTGTACTCAGGTTCACCATCAAAGGTTGTCAAATATGCAGGACTTCCTCGGTTAGTTATTAAAACAGAAGCTTAGGAAGCACGAAAACTAAGCTAAAACAATCTTTTTCCTAACCTGGGAAGCAGTGAACTTCTAAAGCACCTTAGCTGTGAATGTCGAAGGTGCCGTAAATGTGCTTACACCACAGTGATAAAGTGGACCAGGAGAGCTTTCAAATCTAAACCACGTTTATAGAAAGAGCCACAAAAATAGGGTGTTTCAGCCAACTATTAACCCAGCGTTAGAGAAAATGGTGACCAGTTTCACGCTCTGGTCGGCCACGCGCCTGGTCGGCCACGGCTGCCGGAGCCACGCTCTTGGGCCCCACAGACATCCAGTGGAAAACCCCGGAAGTGTGGGGAGCACAGTGAGAAACCTCCCACTGAGACTGGAATGACAGCAGGATTTCGATTTATACCCCAGCTCCGAGCCTAACAGGCTGGGGAAAGCTGTGAGCCCGGGAAGCCACAGGGAGGGTCCGGTGCGTCCCTGAACAGTGCTGCGGGATGGTCCCTGCTCTGCCCCGGGCTGTGGGTCCAGACCCTTGGGGCTCCGGGAGAGCTGCAGGCAGCTGAGCGGCCCGGCTCTGAGGCTCATGGGGACGCTGGCCCCAGGACTCATAAGCAGACCCCAGGCTTCAGTGCCAGCGAGAAGACACACCCTACGGATTCTAGCAATAAGAGCGATTTTTATTTGGGTTAATAATATGTAAAAGAAAAAAAGGAATCCAAATTGCATTAGGCTCAACACCTTAAATTCTCTGGTGCCCTAAGATTTTAAACTGTGACCCCCGTGTGGCTTCCAGTCCCCGGGTGGTTGGCAAAGATGAGCTCCCGTGTCCCCAGACGGAAGAGGGCGGCCCCGGAGACCCCTGCCGCCTGACCCTGCCGCGCCCGCCGCACCCGCCACGCTGGGGACACTGACCGTGAATGATGAGCCCGTCGACCCGGTGCTGACAGGACAGGCGGAAGGCCTCCTCCAGCTCCATCTGGGAGGACACCGTGCAGGGGTCACCTAGGCGGCAAGACACGGCGCTGAGGCCACAGCAGGCCTAAGGCAAAGGGGTCCCCTCGACGCGAATCCCCCCAGGGCAGAGGGAGGTCCCAGAACAGCCAGCCCAGGCCCCACATCAGAACCAAACCACCACAGGAGGAGGCGAGGTCACCCTCAGCCCCAGCCAGCCACCCGCAGATATAAGCTTCGCCAACTTCCGGGCTCACGCGGGACCCAGAATGTTCCTCTTAGGTCAGTCCCAACCCGGTGGGAAAGGCTCCTGGTCATCCACCACTGTATAGGGAACCCAAATAGGCACAAGCTCCCCAGCGTCCTGGGCTGACAGCTGATGGTCACCGTCATCCCAGAGAAGGGGGTCTCTCCTGGACAGTCTCCCAACCCTTCAGCTTTCTGGGGTGTGTCTGACTGTGAGGGAGTAGGAGGGAGGGAGCCAGAGACAGAGACAGAGAGACAGAGAGAGATAGACAGAGAGACAGAGACAGATAGAAACAAAAACAGAGACAGAGACACAGAGAGACAGAGACAGAGACAGAGAGACAGAGAGAGAGAAACATAGAGACAGAGACAGAGAGACAGAGACAGACAGAGACAGAGAGAAACAAAGACAGGGACACAGACACAGAGAGACAGTGACAGAGAGAGAGAAACAGAGAGACAGAGACACAGACACAGAGAGACAGAAAGACAGAGACAGAGAGAAACAAGACAGAGACACAGAGAGACAGAGACAGAGAGAAACAGAGAGACAGAGAAACAGAGAGACAGACAGAGGCACAAAGACAGAGAGACAGAGACAGAGACAGAGACAGAGACAGGCAGACAGAAACAGAGACGGAGGGATCAGAGTGAGGGGGGCCTGGCTACACTTTCCCTGAGAAGTGGAGAGCCCATCCTTCCAAATCACCCACAGGAAAGCCCCCAACATGAGAGCACAGGGTCAGGTAAGAAGGGTCAGGATGAGCCCACGGTGGGGCGGGGACCCCTGCAGTCCTCCCCGGGGGTGTCTCACCTGCCCACCCCCACCCTCCCGCAGACGGCCAACCTCTGTCCAGGACAGACCCCCGCCCCCACTGGGGAAGGTGCCGGGTGGTTTTCCGCCTCCCCATGGAGGGCGGGGGCAGCCGGACACCCCCTGATGGCAGGTGACCCAGGGCTACCTTCGCTGTCCACCCACTTGAGGGTGAGCGGCTGCCCCTGGTGCAGGCTGCACATCTCTCTCACTTCCGCACAGAGCTCCTCGAAGGTGGTGGCGGCATCCAGGCTGGTGATGAGGATGTCCCTGGGGCAGAGAGGACGGGGCAAGTCACCAGGGCACATATGTAAGTCACATTGAACTCGGGTTACTGATTAACCGAACTGTCGACTAAATAAATGAGATTTTCCCAGGACCACTGACCACAGTGTTGTTAAATTAGCTCCACCAAGGCCCCTGCGCAGAAAAGGACAACCTATCCTGGCGCCTGGACGGCAGAACGCGCCCCCTAGTGGAAGGCGGGCAAGCAAGGGCCCAGGCACCAGGTTCCAGTTCTGCCCAAAAGGTCACGTGGGGGGTGGGGGTGGACACAGGCCCTTCAGGTCAAGAGCATCCACTTCATTAAGTCGTCCCCCAAACCTGGACAGTGCGGACAAGAGGGTCACATCCAAGGACTAAGGGCCTCAGGAAGGGGGGGCCTGGTTGGGGAGGGGCAGGGTGACCTGAGGGCGCCCCAGAGGGACCATTCAACTGCCTCCTGCACGATTTTTTTTGAAAAGCCAAGTCACAGAGTGCTATTGCCTTTTCTCTTTTCATCCAAAAATGGGGCGCTGACGCAGGGAGGCTGGAGATGGCTCGGGGATTCTGGGTCACCCTCAGATGGCTGGCCTTGGGGGGAAGGGGAAGGCGGGAGCGGACAGTTCTGCCCCCCCATGCCCTGAAACAAGCACCAGTCCTGTCCCCTCACCAGAGGGCAGAGAAGGCGCTGACTCAGGGGGACGTGTCTGCAGAAGCTGAGTGGGAAGCTCACCCTCAGAGCCGAGGCTGCAGCTGAGGGGAAAAGGCACCCACATTTCACATCCCGAGGGTGCAGAGCCCCCAAAAAATCTGACAGGCTCTGAAACATCCCAAACCACACACATGGAGGGCTGCTTGGTGTTAGCACCGCTGGCTCCTGAATCCCACCAAACTAGTGGCTATAAAGTCTCTGACCACAGGACAGTAAGCCCAGGGCCACCGGGATCCAGGACTCGTCCATCTGTGGGCAGCACCTTGGCTCAACACAGCAGCCCAGGGCCCCGCCCACAGGCCTTGCTCACCCTCACGGCCCCCCGCTGCCACCCTTTCACCCTGGAACTGGCCATCGTCTGCTCACAGACCCTCAGCACCTGCCCCCAGCACCCCAAGCGGTCCCCCAGGACAGACCCAGCCTGTCGTCACCATGGCCTGTAGTGTCTCAGCAGATGGGGAAACTGAGGCACAGAAGGGGCACATGGCTCATGAGTGAGGGCTCCAGAGACAAAGCTCCCACCCCCGTCTCCCCCATCACCCTGGGGTCACCCAGACCTGGAACCCTCACTGCCCGGCACACCCGTCATCTGGCCCAGCGCCCACAGCCCTCCTGCCCCCAGGAACTCTGGGAGTCAGGGCCTGCCATCCCTTCACCTTTGACCTCTCCCTGCCCCA